GGGTTAGGTTAGTGAAGACACTTTCTGGGCCGAGCGCTGCGGTGGCGGTTTGGTCAAGTTGAGACACTTTCTGTAAGATCCATGTACAAAATTGTTCTCTAGGAAAATAACCTTTTTAAAAGTCCGTTATGGTCAAACTCGTCATTCTCGTGTGAAATCAATATTTTTTTTTGGCTGTACGTTGCCGAACATTATCGGATTGCATTGCCAACCCCCCATAAATAGTTGCTATTATAATTCAACTTCAAATTGTATCTTTTCTGGATTAAATGATTTTGAGCCACCTTTATTTTTGGTAATCTAGAAAAATCCAAATCCATTAAGTCAATTTCAATTAAGAATTACTGATCTTCATGTAAAATGCTTTTCAGAGATACCGTACTTCACTATGTGGATGTGGACGCTCAGAGGAACCCCATCAAGTAAACCGCAATGAAGAATAAAGCCATAGAATATCGACATCAAGAACTTCATCATTTTTTTACTTTTGTCCTGTTTTTTTGTCTTGTAACTTACCTCATCATTAATTTTTCTGTTTTGTCTAGATTGCTTACCGTATCCTTTGAATACATTGCCGGCATTTATAAACTGATAAAAGTCGCTGTACGCTGTAAGTTGTCATTTTTCGACTTAGGGACTTAATTTTTCTGTATTTGTATAGCTTCTTTATTTACACTCAAAAGTTGGTATACGCTGAAAGTTGTCATTTTTCGGCCTAGCTTGCAGTTTTTGTCTAGCTACTTGCCATATCCTTTGAATACAGGCCCGGCATTTTTCGGCCTAGCTTGCAGTTTTTGTCTAGCTACTTACCATATCCTTTGAATACAGGCCCGGCATTTTTCGGCCTAGCTTGCAGTTTTTGTCTAGCTACTTACCATATCCTTTGAATACAGGCCCGGCATTTTTCGGCCTAGCTTGCAGTTTTTGTCTAGCTACTTACCATATCCTTTGAATACAGGCCCGGCATTTTTCGGCCTAGCTTGCAGTTTTTGTCTAGCTACTTACCATATCCTTTGAATACAGGCCCGGCATTTTTCGGCCTAGCTTGCAGTTTTTGTCTAGCTACTTACCATATCCTTTGAATACAGGCCCGGCATTTTTCGGCCTAGCTTGCAGTTTTTGTCTAGCTACTTACCATATCCTTTGAATACAGGCCCGGCATTTTTCGGCCTAGCTTGCAGTTTTTGTCTAGCTACTTACCATATCCTTTGAATACAGGCCCGGCATTTTTCGGCCTAGCTTGCAGTTTTTGTCTAGCTACTTACCATATCCTTTGAATACAGGCCCGGCATTTTTCGGCCTAGCTTGCAGTTTTTGTCTAGCTACTTACCATATCCTTTNTTTAGCAAAATGAAGATTGTGCGTGATATGAGCTTTCAAAAATGATATCTTTTATATTTATATCTTCAAAATTTACGGGTATAATTAACTTTTGAAGGATTTTTTTGCTTTATAATCAGTTTGAATTTGGACAGATTTATAAATAATTCAGTCTATTTTTATGATTAAAGTGTTAAATATTTATTATTGTATTATGTACATTGTACAATATTAATTTAAGTGGGGGTGGGGGGATCAATAAACAGAGCTGTTTTCTCGAAATATCATTTTTCTTCCCCTCCCCCCAAGAATTTTTGCATGTCAATGAGTTAGCTCATTTTTCAGTTACATCTTGATTCATCGAAGAAAAGGAAGTTGGAGGAGAGTGAGTCTGTTTGGCATCATGTAGGAACTCAGTGTGATTTTTCAAATGAAGGCAAAGTTTATCTTAAATATCGTGACGTTAAGGAGACGCTGAAAGAAGCTAAAAAAACTATCAAGTACTTGAAGAGTAACAAATATCTTCAAGTAAAACTCAAGGAGGTTATTTCTTGAAGATAACATTATTAATTAGGTTGGGATTCAACGAACTTCATTATTTACTTAAATTTTGAAGCGACTAAAAGTGTTAATTTTCTAGAGAACGCTTTTTGAACCCTCCCTTCCCCGTGAAGTGAAGAGTACAAACTACTTCTGCAAATGATAATAATTTAACCAATTCTCATTCATCCTTGATCATACAAATGGCTTCTAAGCGGCCACTACACGATTATAAAAGGTCACATAAAATTTTATTTACAATCTACTTTCCCTTCAAACTATTTTTAAAACTGTTTTCAGAAAAATGGGTAAAAAATGCGCCGTGAAAGGTCGCCCAAGTATTAAGAATTTGTCAAGATGTAAAAATGAAGAACAGTATATATTGTGGAAACGTACAATAAACTACACTGGAAAGTGCAATCAAAAAAGTTTTTTCATTTGTTTCAAACACTTTTCTGCATCCCAGTTTTATAGAGATTTGCAACAAGAACTGTTAGGTAGGGGGTATATAATTTTAATAATTACTCCTAGTTCCTAAAATATATACCCTATTTTTAGGCACGACTAGACGACGCCGATTGCTTCCAACTGCTGTGCCGGATACTGATATAAATGGTTGTGCCACATTAGACAATAAAAATGAGCCAGCAAATTATTTATCCGATGATTGTGTCATGTTGCCTAGCGAAAGTGTGCCACGTCAAGAAAATTCGAGAGATTTTGACACACTACACAAGACAAGTATGCCAGAATCAAATTTATCTGGATTTAGATCTGAAAAGCTTAAGAATAATGAGGTAGGGTTATTTACTTTCTGAGCATTAAGGTTTTTTTTTTTTAAGCCTGAAACATTTAATTTTACCTAATATTCTTATTGTTCCTACCCATACTACTTTCTGTCTATTTAATTCCTAAAAGTTTGGTTCAAAGTATGCCTTGTCAACTTTTTTTAAAGATCAACATAGGAAATCTGTAAATTTCTTTTCTTTTGCTGGACACTGTGTTTCATGTTTGACATTCATCAGCAGCACATATATACATATATTTATATAATATAATAAAAAAATATTAGAAAACATGCTTGACAATTTTTTTTCAGATCTCAACCCAAGCTGATACAGATCCTTTAAAAGGTAGGGTGGAGATAGTTCAAAATACTATTCAGTCATAAATATTTTTTTTTGCTTCAATAAAAATTCTAAAATTTTAGCATCTGCTACTAGGAAAAACAATTGGATTTAGACTATTTTATCTTTCCTATTCAACAGAATTTTTTGCCCGCTTTTTTTTCCAAAATTTCAAGATTCCTAGGACGAAACAAAATATTGGCATAGGACATCCCTTAAAGTCAGATTTGATGATTTTTTTTATATTTTAGGAAAGATTTAATGTTATATCAGATAAAATTCTTAAAGAAATAAAAAAAATAATTAATGAATTAAATTGCATTGCATTATCTTACGCAAAAAAATTTACAAAAAAAATTCTCCATCCAAGACAGAGAAGTAACAGGTGGCGGAGGAACAACCATCAGAAGAAAAATAACAGTCAACGGAGCAACAGCCATTGGCGGAGCAACAACTGTTGGCGGAGGGACAACCGTCAACGGAGCAACAGCCATTGGCGGAGAAACAACCGTCAGCAGATTAACAACCGTCCACGGAGCAACAGCTATCGGTAGAGAAACAACTACTGGGGGCGAAGGAACCGGTTTGGGAGGGAAAATACTTGACGGAGGAATTAATAATCAACGTTCCTTGCTACCATCATCAACCAAACTGGATAATTCAAAGAGTAAACAAACAAAGAGAAGATGCGCCGTAAAAGGTTGCGTCAAACGAACAACTTTGACAGGTTGTAGAAGTGAAGAACAATACTTATTATGGAAAAAAGCAATCAACTATTCGGGAAAGCGCAGTCAACACTCATTCCATATTTGTCGCAATCACTTTTCTAAGTCTCAGTTTTATAGAGATTTGCAAGAAGAACTACTAGGTAGGGGTATATATTTTATATCCCTCATACCCAACCCCCTCCAGTTATTTTTGATGGTCGGGGGGGGGGGGGGGGTACGTTTGACAAAACTGGCGCATGTCGTTGTTTTATACTTTTATCCTAAAAGAAAAAAAATTGCCAGTAAATGTAAATGTAAACATTAAATGTTAATGTAAATGTAAACATTTCTGACATTTGGGGTTATTTCAAGGTGGTGGGGTAAAGGGGGGGATGCTTTTTCAAGTAAAAAATATACCTTTGCTGGTTTGCCGAAACGATTCCACCGATTGCTTCCAACAGCTGTACCTGACATAAATCTAAATGGTTGTGACACATCAAACAATACAAATATGCCTGACAAGTATTTATCTAATGACTGTGCCACGTTGTTTGATATAAATGAGTCAGACTCAAAATTATTCGGCTTTCAAACTGGAAATAACAAAATTAATGAGGTAAGAGGGTGATGACTTAAAAAAAAAATTGGCAAAATTTTATTTCACCTTGAATCCTTTACCGACCTAAAATCAAAATTTCCTACAGTGAGAAGCAGAAATCCTGGAATAAAATTTCGACTTTGTGCAGTGTGCACAGACCTTTGCTGTATTTTAAAATTAATTTTTAGGTTACAAGTAAAACTGTTTGCTTTCTAACATCATCAAAGGCCCACTTTAAATAATACTTTGAAGTCGTCTTCCTACTCCATAGTTTTTATGTCTCACTGTATCATATTTTCTAAAAAAAATTCTTTAAATTATTCTTCCCTGTTTTTGTATTTTTAGTAATAATTTAATAACTCTATTAAGGGGGAAGAATTTTATTGAAAATTTAAAATTCTTTTTACAGTAGCAAACTAGAAGCAACATTTGTAAAAGAAAACATTTTAAAATCGAAACCCCGGAATTAAATTTTTTTTTAAATCTGCGATCACAAGGCCGCAGGAAGGTTGATTTATCAATTTTTGAAATATGTTTATATGGGTACAAGAGGATGTGTCTTGAACCAAATATAACTTGCTTAATTTTCTGGGATTTTTTTCGAATTTAAGATTTACACAAAAAAAACCAAAAACTGAAAGAGACTGAAAATGATAAAAAGAATTCTGCAGTGCTTAGGATCCGGATCCGTTAGATCCGCAAAAATATGCGGATCCACTGATCCGGATTCAAGGGGTAAAATATCAACTAAAAACTGCAAAAAAAAAACTTTTTTACTACTAAAACCAAAATCTAAAGTGTTGAAAAAAGAGATTATAAAAATTTCCTTCCTCATTTTGAATGGTTTTAGGATAAAAATAAGCGAAAAAAATAAAACAAAAAATTTGCAAATTAATTTTTGTTTAAAAAAATTAAGTAAATTTTAAAGAAATGTCCCGGATCCGGATCCTTTTTTCCCAGCGCGGATCCAGGATCCGGATCTGCATCAAAAATAAATGGATCCTAAGCACTGGAATTCTGTAATCAATTTTTAAAATGTATGTAAGAAAACTTTAGAACCATGGTGCAAGGAGGATTTGACCATTTTTCTAGATAAAAAGTTTCAACCTTATCTTTTGTTCTCTTCAGGTCTCAACCCAGGTAGAATCAGAACTGTTGTTAGGTTGGAATAATTATTGTTGTTAACACCTTTTTGAGACAATCAACTCATAAACTTTTCTTTTTAGAAATCTAATTTAATTTTCTCCAGCAATTTCAAGATTCGTAAGGGGGGGGGGGACTAAGTTTGAGAATACATTTAAACTAACTTTCTATTCAGAGATGGCGATGCCCGATTTACCTTTATCTGATCAAGTATGAATTGGCTCTCAATGTTTTTGTTTCTTTAAACTGTTTATTTTCATTTGCGATTGTTTCTTTGCAAAAGTGACTTGCACATTTCTATTTTATAAGAAGCTATGAAGAAGTTATTAGAGTCAAACACTTTTCCAGTCAGAAAACAATATTATCTTCCACATTTTTGATCAGATTGAGGTTTTAAGGGTACCGTTGTAAATCCGGCATTGCCATCTTTGCATGGAGAGTAACTTGAACTTACGCGTAATGTCCCATTAATGTTGGGAACAGGACTTTCCTTTTACTCTGATTTGGTTTGACTTTAAATCTAAACAATGATAAAACTGTAATTTAAACCCTCGGGTAACATTTTTTTTAAACTTAAAATATATCAATTTGTGTAATTGTCTTGTTACATCATTTAATCATCAGAATTTGATAAAACAAAATTTTCCCAACCCAAGACGAAAGAATAACCGTTGGCGAAGGAACAACCATTGTTGGTGGGACAACCGTTAGCGGAGGAATTACACTTGTGGGAGGAACAACCGTCGGCGGAGGAATGAGTAATCAATGTTTACTTATCCCTTTATCATTAGCCACACTGGATAATTCAAAGGGTAAAGCAGGTAAAGACATTTATATTTATATATTTTTTTTTAATATGAAACTATCCCTCCCCCCC